AGATATTTAACTTGCAATGACATGAGCATGCTGATTATTAAGACGAAAATCATCCACAGTACTCAATCTTCGTTTGTATTAACATTTACACACAGACTACTAGGGATTAATCTTTGTTTGATGATAAATTTGCATGCACGTAGGTATTGGCATATCAAATAATTATAAACCTGGTGATGAATATTGACTTGAAGTTAATCAGTCAGTGAGGTAAATGGAATTCATAAACATGGCACATCCAAACACGATACTCATAAATCATTAACTAAAGTATTTTTCTTGACTTTCTCTTCCCTTTGTGCTCATTCTTAAACCACAAATGAATACATTGTCGTTCCCCGGAGTTCTCTCATAGCAAAAATATTATTATGATCCGTCGTTATTACGTGCAGGATATATTAAGAGAAGCACAGAGTAATGTCTTCTCGACTTGCATTTTATTGATGTCCTCTAATGTTTATCGAGGATTTTTTTGTAGTTCCCAGAATACTTGATTTAGAAGGAGGAGAATAAAATTATGGAGAAAATGGACCAGCAGTAAAAGAAGAAAAAAAAGCGAAACAATGTAGAGGATGAAGAAGAAGAAAAAGAAAAGCAAATCAAAGAAGAGACGAAATTAAGTAGAATAAAGGGGAGGTAAAATAACAGAGAAAATATTTCCAGAAGAAGGGGAAAAAGAAGAAAAAATATTCAATAATGCGTAAAATAATGTAGATCCAAGTAAGCTTGCATATGAATTAAAATTGCTCTTTAGATTCATGGCAAAATTGTTTTGCATTGTTCTCTAGCTGAGCATGATAACGGAAACCATTTTAATGACCACATTCACGTCATCTACTTTGCGGAAGTAATACATTTAATAATCGTTCATAACCACAATTATCTGCAGATCAATCAGACCCGGTAGTAATTTGTAAAAACCAAAGTAGTACTAGTACACCATATATTCATTGCATTTTGGGTTAGTCATTTATGTTTTCCAAAACAAAAGGCATACCATTTAACGATTGCTCACAACCCACGATTATCCTCAACTGAAATTAATCAGACATGAATGTGTACAAAAAAGAGTGTCCATTCATTCAGGCTATAAATAATATTGTGCACACAAAAAGACCTTGCTGTAATTAAGAAAAAGAATAGGTTGTGTTAAAGTTATTCCGATAATGATTTGATTTTTATATCCCTTACATTTTTCTCGTTCAAAGTAATGTTGTTTTTTTCCTTTTAAAGGAAATTGTCGGTTGCCTTTGCCAAGTAAAACTTTAAACAACAAAAATGGCATTATATCAAATTCAAATGCACTCTCTTTTGCGCAAAAGTAAAAGTATCTTAACGTACTTGCCAATAAATATAATAAAACAAGACAAAAACGATACATTTAATTTAATATGCCTTTTTCAAACTTTCATTACCAATGACCATATAATATGCAAAATTGTGTTTATGTTATTTTTAATGGTTTATTATTTTAAATACAAATTAAATACATGTTTATATTAAAGATTTCAAATTATTTTGCATCTTAAGAAGAACTCGACCTACACAAACTCGGACTTCCCTTTAATTAGAAGTCTTTACCTTGTGGGTCCTCAATAACATAATATGTGTGTCCTCACCAGTGAATGCCTTAACATCGTTAATTCTTACAAAATCTTCAAGATAACTGTGAACGTTCCGTGACACCTAGAGGCTAGGAATCATACATAATGTAAACGTAATAGATACACTACAATTTTAACCAGAAGCAAGTACGTGGAGTCTTTAGATATTACGAGCTATTCCAGGAAAGAAGTCGAATCGTTAGACATTACTAGCTATTCCAGGAATATGGCCCAGAGTTATACTGTAAAAATTCACCCACCTCAGATGTCATATTTATTATTAAAAAAAGGAGTTAAAAGAAGCCGGGACCTTTCTTTGATCTTTACACTAGTAGGTCAGCGTGGTCAGTGAGGTGCAAATCAGGATGATGAATTGCCTTCAGGTATACTGTATCATATTGGTTCCTGCATTTTTCTTCGAACAAGACGGTCATCACGTGACCTATTAAATAATTGAAAAGGGAGGACTGGACGACTGGACTTCGAAAGTACGTGACCGGTCAAATCAATCCGAAACTTGTAAACACCAAAGCGGATTTGTAGTAAAGCACAAATATTTCACGGATATTCTATTCCCAAATATATATTTTTTAAAGAATTAAAACCGCTTAATCAGAGCATTGCTTTTGGTTTCCTGGTAAGTACAACATTTCTCAGAGGAACCCAAGGAGGAAAAAAAAGTATTTACAGAGCAATCGTAAGTTTACACCAAGCGCGAATATTGATCTTCAAACACCAACATTTTAGGTAAGAAAGCAGAAGAGGGATGATGGCGGATCACTCACAAGCTCATCCCCGCCAGTGGGGTTATCCAGAAATAGATATGCAGGATTAGAGAAATACAACGGGGATTCGATTGGAGAGGGTCTTCAAAGGACAAGATCAAAAGTAAGAAGCTAGGTGAGCGATGATGGGAGATCATGTATTCGCTCATCATTATAGGAGGCGTATTCAGAGATGGGTGAGCGGGATTTTGCGAAATATATATGTTTATCAACGGTTTAACTAAGGAGGAATGGGGCACAACGATTCTACTATTATAAACTAGATAGATGGGAGACTGGAGAATAGTTCATGCCACCAGTTTTCAATCTCTCATGTTTCGAGGAGATCCAGGATCTAAATAGGCCTAGAATGCTTCATGAGGTGTGAGGTGTGAGGTGTGATATGGAACTTGAACTAACATAGATAAGTATGTGTCTTTAATAATTTATATAAACTTTGTTTGTCTGCTAACTATGACAACACCAACAGTTTACAATCTACAACGCTTTGGAAAACATGCACTAACATGGACTAATCGTAAAACAAACAGTTTAATGAGGATCGGAAGGAAGTACAGTGAGGGGGAGGGGGGGAGTATATTTTTTTATCTTATTCGTGACTAGGAGATGCCATTTTTTTAATTCAAAGGGTAGTAGAAGATTGACAAGGAATCAGGGGGCGGGATGGCATCCACTAGCACATCCTACCATCACCACCACCACCACCACCACCACCACCAGTTTTTCATTTACCGCGCGCTGGAAGCAGATTTGACAGCTAGTGATGAAGAGGCTTAAGAGGAGCAAAGTAAACACTTGTCCGCCTCCTCCTCTCGTACTTAGAAACCGCGCCATGGCAGCCTAACCAATTAACGCGTTAACAATAAGCAGAAAGCGAGCCCAACCATCACATCATCACATCAGCTTACTTCGCACATTATTGATGTGGCCCGGCGGAATTGCAGACACGGGCGTTATGGGGATTTATATTTAATAATAGGTGGCATTCAAATAACTAGGTTAAAAATGATGACACGTCTGGCATGTCGTTGAAAACAATACAAAACATGAAAATAAAGACATTCCTTTGTAATCACGAATGTTTACAGTATCAACTGAAAGCATTTAAACCGGGTGTGGTTTAATAATAATAACAATGAATTGTAGGTTTACCCACTCGTCTCAAGCATGGTAACATTGCTACCCATCTCACAAAGTGAATACTTCTCGTTCATTTCTTACATAAGGACTTTGACAATTAATATTGCCCAAAACAATAATTCATATTTCATTTCCATATGTAAATTTCCATGTGGAATCTTTCCGAAATAACTCTTTGACCAGTTCACTTTTTTTCTTCAATAAATCATGTGAATAAAAATAATTACTAGAAGCATGATAATACATTCTCAAAAAGGTGTTTAAGGTTATGGTATGGCAATCTGTATTGTAAATTCATACAAAACGGAAATTCATGAACGTTGCTTTTACATGTCTTTTCCTGTACAAGCTGTGAAACATTTAGTATTATCAAAGGTTTTCGAATATTTTTGTCGCCATTATTTTCTTGTGTGAGAAATGATCAGGAGCGGATTTTGGAAAAGCATCCAATAAAAAAATAAAAAGAAGAACTAGTCAATGATACATTAACATTTATCGTTGCATGTCCCGATTTTCCAACCAAAACATGGTTTTCCGTGCACGTAATACAGAAAATATAAATTTCTGCAATACAAAACAACTGATGTGACTAAACATAAATGTAATATTGTTATCACTTCTATCTAGAAAGCTATAATATGACACAAATCACACAAATTCTTTGAAGTGAAATATACAATAATTAATTACAAGATAATAAATTTATGTATAGAAGCTATTATGTACAAAAATATTTTGCTTTGCTTCGTTGTCGTATCTTAGAAGCATCGCCATTATTTTTTGTTCGTACTCAGTGAATTTACATGTAGTGTTTACTCTTTTCAATCAAGAATTATTGTGACATGATAGAATTAACAGGCAGATTTATGTCACAAGCGAGAAATTATATCGTATGATTACTTCAAGAATTCTGACACTCTCAACGTAAACGAAGCGTTCTTTCAGACAAATGCACTATCTAAAAAACAAGTCACTCGTTTAGGGAGTAATAAAACAACTCGAGCGTTTTTGTTTCCTTAATCTAATGAAACTTGTTTAACAGATCAGCTCCCGTCTGTTCACGTTGATTGAATCATTAACTTGGTTATCGCCCTTCAAGAAACAAGTAAACCAAATATTGATTAACTTAGGTTTGGTCGGTTTGGTCGATTGATCTCCTGGGCGGAGACCAGAACGACGTTGCACGCGTTAACGACCCTATCTGGTTTCTCGAGTCAACGTACTCTTATCTTTCTCTCGTCTACTCAAGAGCGTGACGAATCGTAAGCATTGACAGCTCAGGATCTAAAACCGTTGAGGAAAAAAAAAAAGGCGGATGATCGTCCTCACCATGTCATTAGATTGTTTTTCATCAGTGCACAGTTGCCGTAGAATTTAATCGTACCTCGTTTCTTTTTTTCAGTTTCTAGGTTCAAGCACTTAATCAATTGAATCTGTTACGAATCTCTCACTCACCAAAATGAAACCTTTGCACCACAACAATCAGCTGATTCCATGAATTGTCCTTCCTTCCCCACGGTGTTATTATTGTTGCAGTCTTGTGCCGTGAAGGCGAGGTCGATATAAATGTTTTTTGTCAACGTCCCTGTCGTTATTGCAACCGATGATCCAGTCGGACATGATACAATATAATCATCATAACATAGTTTATTTTGGAGAAAAAAAAGTTGGATTAGCAAGTACTTACGACCTCATAAGATGTGATGCGATGGGGTTGCCACAAAATCCGCTGTATATTTACGGAGACTGCTGGACTTTTTCGTTACCATTGCTGAGACGAGTTTCTCGATATATACGGGGACCGGTCGAGACGTTGGACGCTTCCAGACTCGTCTGTTGCGTAGATCCGGCCTTCTCATATCCCTTTTTTGACTTACAGACATTAAAGAAAAGGAAAACATACGGGTTCGTGGCGCTGTTGCACGAGGCAAAGATGGCGAAGATTCCGTAGATTACCATATTAAAGTTCTCCATATTGACGTAGACGCGTATGAGTTGCATACTGAAAAAGGGTACGTTGCACAGGACGTATGCGGTGATGATGACCATGGTCATCTTAAGCGTCCTCCACCTCGACGTCCGCTGCCACTTCGACTTGTTTTTGAACAGGGAAGAACCGCCTCCGAGCCAAAGGCGGAGGAGAATACGAAGGTAGGTGTAACAAATGATGAAAAAGGGAATGAGGAACGCAACTAAGGAAACGTAGGTCACGTAGAGTTTTATGTGCCATTTTGGCAGCTTTTGAAAACCGGTCATGCAGAATGGCGTTCCGCTCGTAATGTGATCTTTCCTGAACACGGCCAGCTGGGGTAAAGAACAGAGGAGAGCTGCCAGCCAGGCTATGCCGATGACCCAAAGCTCGGGTAGGGGTTTCTTCAGAGCTCTGATGACCGAATGGTAACGGTCTATGGCGATACCTACAACCATGTTGCTACTGGCCATCAGTGCTAGGCTCTCATAGAGCCGAAAAAGTCTACACGCCGCATCGCTCGAATGCCACACCCTGCCTTCCAACTCCTGAATAAGCTCGATGAGGATGACGAAGAGAACTAGAACATCGGTGGTCGTCAACGATGTCATGTAAACTTGAATTCGATTACGTTCTTTGCGATGTTGGTAGAGCCAGACGTAGACGAGCAGGTTTCCTACCAGTCCGATGGCGAACACGATGGAAAGAGCTGCGATACGCGACTTGCTGTCATAGGCAGGGCCAGGCTTATCATGACCGTCAGTTGTGTTGATTAGCTCAGTCGGAGAGTCTATGTCATTCATGGTGGTTGTATAATGGGCCTCCATCTGCCTTAGATATCAGCTACAAACGCAGCTTGTAAAATCGTGTCAATACATTCTATGGTGATGTCGACAATACATGTCTAAATATATAAACTCAGTTTTCTCCAAAGCAAACAAATGTATGTCTGGATTTGTTAGTTGACTTCATAAAATCGAAGATCGTTCCTTAAATTTTCCTGCTGGAAAATGCTGCAAAATAATTCATTACAGGCTCAAAATTCCTTGGTTTTCGCAGACTACAATATTACAGTTAGTAAAATGAGTAGTTAGTAACGGGTCATTTTTCCTCGTCCGCGATTCCTTGATTTCCAAATATAAGCCACAGAGCGTTTTGCGAAAAACGCGTAACTTAAGAGCCATGAGAAACTTTAAAGAGAGATGCTACTTTCGGCACAACTAGAGAGTAGCAACCCAGATGCGCTCGTCACGAATCTCTCGATCAAATTAATTCCACCAAGATGACTTGACCACTTTATATATGCGAGTTCATTCCACCACCAAATCGTGCCACAGCGCGCCCAGCCACACATACGAGAAGCACTATGCCTTGTCTACGGCGGACACCAATAAGCCAGGCAGGCTGCTCGGGAGAGAGACACAGAAAGCTATCAGGGGTGACTGCATGCAAGAAAGAAATCAACGTGACGTCACACATGATCTTGGTCCTCATTGGTCGATTGTCCTGTCTCGGTGACTCCCGTTCGACCAGTTATCATCGGAGAGTCTGGCGCTGTGCTACAAATCACTGTCCATTTTGCTGTTCAATAGCACCTCGCTATTAACAGCAAAACATGAACGGTGTTCTGTGTAAGGGGCTCATGCATGTCTTTCTGATGTGTTTATTTGTCAGCTCGTTCACATCTTGGTGAAGGGAAATACAAAATCTTAGAAAGAAAAAGGGTATTGTGATGGCGCATTGCACACTCACGCTATAAATAAAACACAGTCTCAGTCTGTTTTCCAAGCAGAATTTGCACTTTCACCGCAGTCAAGTCGGGGGAGTTAGGAGAGCAATCGACCAGCTGGACAGAGCGATATCACGTCGCAGCCTTTTACCAAGAAACGTATGTGCCATAAACGTATTCGTCAACATTCAAAGAACACATTTTTTCCCTGCGAATCACCACTTTGTCTAAGTATCTTATTTTCGTCCCCTCCTTGTTGAGCCAAAAATATCTACAACCTAGTTAAATATAATTAACTGTAGGGAGAAGTGGATTCTGTTTTGCATCAAGCTGTAGTTTTATTAATAGACTGGCTATCTATAATAATGGAAACAATCAATCACGCTTTTCATAGTATTTAAAATAGAATGATGGGGTTACACTTTTTGATGTAGTCATTTTTAGATCAGTCAACAACTACACAAATAACGTGATGTCCCATACAAAGTGATTTGTTTTCTTTAAAGATGTTATATAGATCTCTTTACAAAAGATGGTGGGAATATTATAAATAAAGCGACACTCAAAATGGAAATAGTGAAACGAAAGTTATCTACACATATAACGTTTACGTTGTTTTGAGAACTCTACATGCACCCGTGGGTGAAATAATGATATACATTACCCCAGGGAGTGGAGAATGTGCATACCTTGTGTGCGGGTAAGCCTGAATCCGATGACCGGGGTAATAACATGTTCCGCGCCTAGAAACGTAGTATTAGGCGCATTATAAATGTGAGCTATTATTATTATTATTATTATTATTATATACACAATCACTTGACAATCGAATCTGTAAAGAAAATTATCCTCATTTACTTCCGTTTCACAAAACATTGATGATATGTGTTAGTTACCATAACCATAACATAAATCCTTAAATAAATCATTGAATAATTCCCCTACTTTTGAAATAGGACACACAGACATTAATCAAATGATCAACATTATTGATACCGAAAATACAAGGATTGCAAAATATTTTCTTGACCTAGATGTCCCTTCTCGGAAACACACAACTAGTTGCATTCATGAAGGTGATTTATACGTCTCTTCTCTAACATGAAATATTGCGACATAGATTGATGTAAGCCATATTGCATAGAGGAAGTACGTTTGAAAAGCATGTAAAAGAATGCTAATTTCTGCAGCAATCGAAACTTGTTTGCAGCAGTACCAGTACCTAAATATAAGTAATATAATAGTAGTTAAATAGGCCTGCAACTCATTATAGTTTAATAATATATACATATATATGCTATGATTATATGATTACAATTAGGCCTATATGTTGAATGTCGCAGAAGGAATATTTTGGGGGTATTTCTATCAGTTTTTATTGACTTTATTGGTGTATACGTATACCAAAAGCGACGCTGACCGTTTCAACATTTTAAGACATTTAGGTTCCTTAAAAGTGATTTTTCTACTCAAAATCACCATGTAAAAATTCATGTTGAGAGCCATAGGAATTTTTTAGACATGAGAATTAATTTAACTCAAGTTCTCAGTGTGAATGTTCATATTAAATTACCAAGCTTTAAAGTGGACACGAAATAAACATTGAAATGGTGTATTCTACAGGTGGGCTTTCGTGGCGCCTTTAACTGATGAACTATGCCTAAACGTTTAGCACGTGGTTATTGGTGGCGCCTAAACAAGTGATCCTAGTTGCGTAATGACCCAGTTGTCCTTTGATTGGATTTTAAAGTGTATGTCTGTCATGGTGTGTTAAGCAGGTGATATTAATGGTGCCAAAACAAGAGGACTTTGGTAACGCCTTATATTGACAATCACTGTTGATACAGGCGATGTTTGGTGATGCGTTATTAGCATGATGACTTTTTTTGTGGCGCCTTAATTATTATAAAGGGGTCTCTTATGGCGTTTTACGCAGGTGGACATAATGGCATCTCATTCAGGCAGGTATTCCTCGTGGTGACGTAAAAGGCTGATATCTGGTGAAGGTTCACATTAAAAGTGATCTCGATAATTATGCAATAAACATTTTGATATCAGGTGGCACCGTATAGACACTGTGACTGCGGTCTTAAACAGTAACTTGGACTTCAGTGACGGATTTAACATTTGGATTGCTCTAACACCTTAGATAAACAAACGGTAGTTTGAGAGACCTTCAACAAATGGACGCAGGTGTCCATTATTTTTTTCTCCATTCTTTGCTATTATATTTTTTCAGCTATCTCTAATCTTGATGCATCGTCTATTTTCTGTTCGTATTCAAATTCATTAGATATCATCATTCTTATCAACACGGAGCACTCACTTTCCATTCAGGAAGCATTATTAAAGGAGCGAAAGGAAATTAAAGTTCAAAGTATTATAATTTGATTAAGTCTTGTATGACTGCTGCCTGACATGTTCTTGTCTACATACGTGCATTATGTTGCCCGTAAGTAACATTAAAAGTAACAGTAATGAAATTATGATCTTTTGCCTCATGTCAAGACACTTCATCAAATTTCATTAAAACCATATATTACTGCAAACGAAATTGCATTAACTATTTATTATAACTGGAGGTGCTAGAAGAGGGTGAAAATGAATTCTGATTAGTATGCCAACCCGTTAACGGTCATATTGATTTCACCGGCCGAATCAATTTTCCTTCAAAAGGGCTCTCTTTACCATATTTATCTCAAAATGTGGGTTCACTAATGGCGAGCATCTTCCTAATAACTAGGTCAGACATGTGACATCTCACAAGGTGCTATAATTGGACACCTACTGCGACGTCACTTTTAATTGCAAATTTTCTCAACTCTTGTATCTCTTCTTTCTTTCATTTTTTAAGGGAAGGGGGAGGGGACCATCATACACAACACGTTAAATTGGGCCATGGCAGTTTTATCTCTGTTGGATTGTAAATCGGCTTGCGAGGTATTTGTGTTAATGTCAGCTTTCTATGGTCTGGCTTCATCGCAGAATCTTTATTTAACTTTCTTTTTATCTCTTTGGGCGATTCACCAAATCCGTGTTCCGTTATTTAAGCTCTTGCATATAGACGCATTAGAGTAGGTCGGGTAGTTTATTGTTGTTTTTATATTTCTTTTCATTTTGTACACCTCCTTAGGCGTTACTATGTAAATGAAATGGTTTAAATCTGTGCGGATCTATCTGCAAATCTCGCTCAGACTTTAACAATCCTTTGGACGATAAGATCGCCAAGAGGATATAATATGCGGTAGAGCATCCTTATAATTATAACCGACATATGGCCCAGTTTCTTAAGCTGTGAATTCGGTATATACTTGCTGGAACAAGAAGTGATGTTGGCATCCTAGGACGATAACATGTGAAAAACCCTAAATACTGGGCAAACAAACTGATCATTTTTTTTGTCAAGGATTCTCTTTCAACACGGAATCATAAAGTGATGGAAAAAAAATAATCACAGAGCTTGATACTGACCTCCCCAAATATTTATAATTTTGTTTTAATTGAAGGTATTTACTTCGCTTACTAAGATAACGTTACGTTATGGTGATCATATGTTGAGGATGGAAAGTAAATTGTCATGGAATTAAACGAATCTCACACTGACTTAAAAACTGCTCGTTTATTATTTCAGCTAAGCAATCTTGGTTGAAAAATATATATTCTGATTATCGTTGAATAGTAAGCAAAGAAAGAAATAGCATCCAAATAATAGTAGTTGAACACTTGATACGTGTGTGCAATATACATGTCTGCTTTTTAATGAACGTGTCGGATGACGAGCCAGTTTTCCCTCAATATGTGGATGATAATATGCATTGTTTCTTCTTAAAAACCCTTTATTTGCCACTATTGCCAGCAGCTTAAAGTCATCAAAAATGTTCCTCTCTGAATGCAACTAGTAAAGATCGGTTTAAATATTATCCTGGACTCCCACATTGTATTAAAGACATGAAGAATAATATTGTGAACGATGTCAATTGTGACGTCCTCTTTTCGTCTGTTTATTCCGTCAGCTGACAAAGCCTGTCAAGAGTTTGTCTGTACTTCAACATCGTTGTTAATCCCCATGTGTGCTCCCGCTAGGCAAAGAAGTCGTGTGAAATACGATATCACCAGATCAGTGATCTGTATTTTGTTGTAATGCCACCTCTAGTTTCTCCTTACGCAAGGAAGAATACATGTAAATCCAGCTCCTTTGACATGACAACTGTAAAACTGGATTAGAGATTAAATGGAGCAAAGATACAATAGTCTGATTAAATCAGGTCTGCCGTAGGGCAAATTGCGACCCAGTGAAGAGTATCAGTTAGGGACGGAAAACACCCCTACAAACATGCCAATCTTATTTTGCTCCCTCCACCTATCCCTCCTCTCCCACCCTCCTCCCCTTATCAAAAGCAGATCGAGGTTTTAGGAAAGAGGGAATAATGATAACAATAATATGTACAACAAAACACGAATAAAGTGTAACAAATTTTCAGCACCTCAAAGGTATTTTTGTACTGAAGGGATGTTACATGTAATTTGGTTTCAACAGAGGGAGGGGGGGGGGGGGCAGGCGGCTGTGCCCCTCTATCTGTATTGTTTTATAAAAATCTAAA